CTAATACAAACAATTACATCTTCTAGTTATGACCTTTGTACTCGGTTGCTGCATGACCTAGGTTGCTAAGCCTTTAAAAACTTTGCACGGTGGAGGATATAAAACAAAATATTTTTTTCTCGGTTTTATATATAAATTTAATAATTAAAAAATCATAAATTACTACATTAATACCATAGAATTTCACTATTATTTATCAAGCTTAGTAAGTAAGACGTATTTAAGTCTAAAAAAATATGAAATTTTGAGCAGACTATAGACACACCCTACCTCGTTGAAATATTGGTTCCTCCATGGAAGTTTCTCAATGCACAAAGAACATTTTTCGTTGTTGGTTTCTGAGTCCAGGATTTTCCACTGATTGACCTGCTGTTCTTTATCATGCAGATTTCCTCATTTTACTTTTGGATCTGGGGTCTTCTGTCTCCTCAATCTCAGATTTTTGAGCAGCCCTGTCTCACACCTTTTGTTTTTCTTAACCTTACAGGCATTTACCTCTTTCACACTTTACCTGTTGATGTGTTCCTTCTGGATTTGTCATCTGCCACGGTGTGCTGCCATTCCAGATGGGGATATTAATGTGGTCCTGCACTGCCTCACTTTACCTGGGGATGTCGGTGGTCTGTTTATTTGCCATTGATATTTCCTGCACTCTTTATCCTTCTACATATCTTCCCCTTCCTTCAGATAGTTTTTCCTCCCTAACTCTTTGGTGGCTCGTTGGATAACTTCTCCATTTAGCTGCTTTCCCTTCCTTCTGTTTCACACCTTTATCCTCAGCCTGATCTGGATAGACTTTTATTTCCTGTACGTGCCCTTCTCTGCTATATTGCCCACATGGCTTCCTTCTGTGGTGTTTTGTTTCCGCCTTTTTCTTCATTGGCAGTCGTCCTCTGTTCGTGATCTTTCTCCTTCCACCTTTGCCTATTGGGTTTGACTCTTAACTCAATTGGCTTATGCCTATTTATCGTCTTCCTCCTGTACTTTGTTCCAGGTGTCTCCTCATCCAACTTGACACATTTTCTTTTCATTGGCATTTCATCTTTGTTGTTCCTTCTTCAATCAGGCATGTAGACTACCCATGATACTTTTGTCTCTCACTACTTCCATTGGATTGTGGTTTTCTTCTTCTTCCAGTTATCGTCTTCCACGTGTAACCATTCTTCATAATTCAGTGAGACTTTGACTGGGAAGTTATTTTTTCTTATTTTTCTTTTTCTGGGGCCCTTTTCCCTTTTATTATTGCTCATTGTTTGGATCTTGCTCTGTGACAAGTGTTGCCTGACCAGTTATTCTTTAACAAATCAAATCCGCACTACAAGGCCATGTTGATTTACATGTTATATTTTCATGGCCATGCAATGCACACTGCAGATCGTTGTACTTTTTATCCTTGTGATAGAATTTTAACATAAATTTGCCTGTCCCAGACCATACTCACCCATGGACTACATGGGTAAAGCAGAAGGGGATAGCTGCCCATCCCTTCCATGCCTTGTATTGAATAAATCGGTATGGTCTGCTTTTAAAAATAGGGTTTCATGGTCACCCATTGCACTGTCTCATATGCTGTAGTTCCTCCAGACTCTCCACCACGTTTTTTCCCATTTTATTCTAGTGGAGTTTGAGTCCTCATCACTTTCCAGTTCCAAGCCATTGGGGTGGTGGACCATGGAGGCATCCTCCTGAATGGGTTAATGAAATACAAATGCAAGCAAAATATAGAAATGATTATATAACGATTCAGTTGAGAGTAGGGAGGTGGTGTTCTGCTGGTGTAGATGACATAATATCCATCATTATGAATCATATATAAATGGAAGTGAGCCATCAAAATCCAGTTCACCCCTCTGATTGCAATCTCTCATCCTACCCCCATGTGGATGTTGGTTCCCAGTGGCTGGGTTTTGGATTTAAAGTTGAACCAATCAACATAAGTCCTCACACATGTATTACAGATGTCTAAGTTCCTCCCACAATTATACTCTTGGTACTCCATTCGTGTTGTGGGTCATGATGGAGGTGCTTGCAGATTATTTTGGTTATTCCCCTTCCACTATCCCTCGATGCTTATTATTCCAAGGAAGTTACTGTGCGTGGGGCAGTTCTGATCAATTTCACATTTGAGAGAGATGGTTTACATTATGCAGACATTTTTTTTCTATACCCGATGTTGGTATAGATTGATAGATTAGGTTTCCAGATTGATCTATCAATTTCTTATATTAACATATGATCCGTTCATGGATCTGGGGTTCTTGATTCCCTCTGGCCTCATGAACTTGAGGTGAAGATGGTGTGATCCTCTTCCCTACCCCCACCAGATGGCTGGGTTTTGGATTGTAGTTAACTTGCCACCAATATGATCCTCTTTTCTACTCCCACATGGATGTGTGTTCCCAGTAACATGGGTTTTGGATGTAGTTGACTTGCCGTGTATGGTCTGTTGTGTCCTAGCCACTCTACACCAAGGATACATCATAAATATTATATTGTTTGAATCACTATCCAACCTTAGTTCTCTCTCCCACTTAGATGTATTTTCCACCCATATGTGCAACATCTTTCTACAATGGGCAAAGAGTATACCTGGTTCAGAAGTGGTGTGGTGTCCCACATGAGATCTTAGAATCTGACTGTCTTCTCTTAGTGAGTGACCTTTTGACATTTTCAAAGGATACTTCTTTTTTTCCTTTGCACCTATTCAATGTGGGATTCTAGGTTTATGTGAGAAGAGGTAATGTACAATGTCGGAAGTTATAATTTTCCTATACTGAAAATTTATTTCCAACAGATACTTACCTCTTTTGACATTTCCCACCGTTCCTCCCCATTGAAAACTGGTGCTTCCATCTTCTGCCAGAACTTGAGTGGTAGTTTGGTAGAATTGAATAGAGGGAGTCACATGCATCATGACAGTATGTCTCACTCTTATTGGTGGAGGGTTGACACGTGATGATTTGTATGAGAGACGCATTGAAATCAGTCAGTTCCAATGGAGGAGAGGCTTGTGCCATGCGTAAAGAAATTAATTCTTTATATAAAGGGCAGCACAGAATGAGGATAGCTATTTATGTGAGAAAAGGTAAGTACCTATCAGAAATCCATTTTCAGTATAGGAAAATTATAAATTTATAACTGTGTATGATGACCAGATAGATTCTATATGTAATATATGTTGGATAAGTCTGTTTGTAGTGTGGAACAGAGTATGTCTTTTTAGATTTTTCACACAAAAATTGGAAACATAACATGAGTTTAGATTATGAGAAAACTTAAGATAATCAGTCTCCTGATTATCAAAATTAATAGGTCATGTACCTCAAGTTTTCTGAAAATCATTAATTTATGTCAATGTGAAGAACTTAGTCTGGTTCAGATTTATCATATGACAGTATAGCAATGTGAACCTAAAAAAACATTAGATTTATAGCTACCTCACCACATGTACAGTATCCAATCAATCTGATTAGCTGCAATTAACATGTATAAGGTTCTCATACCAACTTTATTACCCCTCCCAGTGGCACAGTGGTAAGTCTGTAGGCTTATAACACTAAAATCTGGGTTTCCATACCTGTGGTGGGCAGAGCACTTTCAGCCCTTTCTGTAGCTTTATATTTGGGTCCAAACACTTAAGGTATCTTAGGTTATTAGAGGTGAGTAAATGTCTATACATCTAAACCAAACAAACTGTTCACATTTCACTATCATATGAGGCCTACTTTATTTATTTGCTTCAGTCTTCCAAACAGCACTGATAAGCCATGAATTCAGCACAACTAATTTGTGTGAGTAGTGAATTAACTAATAAGTGAGGCCTGTACATCAAATTTTCTAAGGTGAAATTCGTATTTCGGTGAGAAAAATATATTAATAAATAGAATGTGTTCCTCATCACAAATAAAGTGTCTTGTTTCTAATTTGGTTACACATATAACATATTGATGTCCTCTCGGTTAAAGATATCTCAAAATTATACATTACAATGTTATATTTGTAAGCTCTTTGTCCATTGAATGTTTAATTGACATAATTATTATAGCTTTAGTTTATAAACTTAACACAATCTTAAGACAACTTTCTGGTAATTAACATTATTGTGCTCTTAGGATAAAGGTGAACGTTATAATTTAACTTTCTTATTCCATTCATGCTCAAACATCTTACTTAAAACTTTTTACTCTTTTCATACTTGGTTTAATTATTGCATGAGAAAACATCAGAACTTAAACTGATGATGTTATGTATAATGAAATTATATGACTTTAACAGAGATATGTATTTTCATAACTTAAGCCTAATTTTACTAGACTTTTTGTCAGTGGTGTTTTAAATACGTTTTTTATACATTTTAAGCAATCCATTTTTCATGAATCCTTTAATCTTTTAATGTAACATGTACTGCTATAATATACTAAAGCTTAGCTGGCCAAAGTGCAGTACTTCAATATTCAACACTGATATCTAAGTATCACAGTTGTAGCCCACTATTAATTCTAAAAGCTGATTGCACCTTTATTCAGTGGTATTTAGCATAAAACGTTCAAAATTTCATTATAGGTTGTGTGTGAAAAGAATGTGTCCATAATCTTGCTCCTTAATAGGGTCTTTGCTGTTATTATTTTTCAACATTTATTCAAAGAAGTTTAAAATTAATCAAAGAATAAGGGTAACATTATTATCAAGACCATAGATTAACATGTAAGTGAACAGAAGAAAAACACTGGGTGACTTATAAATGTTACTAAAGAAACAACGGATTTTTGAATCATGTGATACTCTACTTACTGTCATGTAAATGATAAGTTTTGTTAAAAGAACTCATGATTTCTTGAATCGCATTATTCACAAGTTAGAGTGTAAGTGCTGTTAAATTGGAAGTACTGAAACCAGTTGAATTTATTAGTGTTTTTTTTTTTGACTTTGTAAGTGGTTTATATTCTGTTTTTACAGGGAATCTATTTCTGTCCACCTGAGCTTCATTCTGCAGCTGTAGAGTTTATCCATGCTCTGTGGGCTGGTCAGCAAATCTTAGCAGTTGATGAGCTAAAGAAAGAGTGAGTAGTAATCCGAATTATTCTTACTTTTTCTTCTTCTTTTTTAATTGTGCATGAACTGACTAAGAGGTGTTTTTTGTTCTAAACCATACTTGCACTGTTCTTGTTTTAATGCTGCTGCATGTATATTTAAGATTTATTTAGATCTTCTCCATTGATAAATATTAAATTCTATATTTTTGATGAATACCGAAAACTGAAGATAACATTTGTTCAAGTATATTTGCATATTGAAAGTCTATAGGTTTTCTTTGTGAGCTAAGAAACAGTTGTAAGTAAATATTAACATAACTGGTTAATCACACAATGAATAGTTCTCCAATAAATATAAATAACTAAATATAAGATCTATTAAACTTTTATCATTTTAATTTTCTTTTATTTTGGTTTCAGTACTATTAAACTACAATTCACAGCTTTCTGATTTAAAAAAGACTATGCATAGGTATGCTTATTGTATATATATTATCTGAAGGTGTGGCACAATAAAAGTCCTAAACACTTTACAAATATTAAAATATTTTGTCCTTTTCTGCTTTCACTCCCATTTATTTTAGAATGAGATACTGTAATTTTGCTCAGTGTAAAATATGTTCTGCACTACCTCGAAATGTCATTTTTTTTTTAATCCACCTGTAGTTCAACATTTTGGAAACTTTTATGTGATCCCTTTCTGAATGGTGAGCTTGTAGAAGCAGATGACCGTGTTATGGCTTACATACTGAGGACTGTGGCTTTGGAGGTGTTTCATTGCAATGTGTTTGGCAGGTATGCTACTCTCAAAGGAGTCATTTCCAGTATGATGACATACCTCTATGTATAGATTAGCTATTTTCCTCTAGTGGTTTGCATGCCACCACCTTTGTGAAATTCCATCCCAAAATTCATGCGAACACGGGAATCTGTGCTACTGCATAATGATGTGTCATGCAACAAAACCCTTCACCAATAGCAGTGTGATGTACCTTCCTGTTCGCATAAAAGGTCTTTCAGATTCTCTAACTTGAATTAGACAACTACACAGTGTCTGTACATGTATGTCTAGACAAAAACTACATCTACTGCACTAGTTAGACTTATGTTTCAAAGTTTTTTGCCTGAGTTCAGTGGACACATGTACACTTGATTAGTTCCACACCCACATTCTATACTTAGACTTGAGATTTACAAGCTAAATGTGCTTAGTTGATGCACATGTTTATAACCAATAGAAAGAGCTCATTTTACAATATAATCTCCCAATGACTATTTTAAAATTGGTTCACAGTTTTTGTTATCATGTGCTTGTAACTGCTGGTAGTAACTGTTTGTTGCTTTCTCCATGATAGTACTTACGATTGTTTCTTACCTAAATATGTGTTACTTAAACTATATATATATGTTTTACTTTTATATTTTAGTTAATTATGTATTATTTATGTTTTAAAATCCATATTTGAAGGGTTTAAAATTTTTTAATATAACCTAAACTTTGCCTCTGTTCTCGAGGCTTACAATAGTAAGCAAATGCAAGAACATTTTGCCAAATGCTTGCGTATCTCTGCCAAAGATACTGTAATATGTCCTGAGGGCACCTTTGACTTGTGTCAAGATGAATAATAAACAGTAAATGGCAGGAAATAAAACATTAAAAATTAACTATATCTGAAAGGTAAAGACCTGAAGTTACAAATATAACTAAAATATCTTTTAAGATTATTCAATGAAAAATTAAAAGGTATGTACATATTTCCATTTCTTAATTTTAAACCTTTCGTTGCATTGTACATTCATGATAATAGCTAGTAGTATGTAAGAGAAAATGGGAAATAAAATATAAATGTTTACCTTAAAAAAACTTTTGATATACATATAGAAGAGATTAATCAAATGACTTGTCAAATTTCAAACACTTTCATTCACTAGTTTTATTTTTGAAATGAAATATGACAAGAGTAATGTTAAGTACTTACAATGTAAGTATCTGGTAGTTATTGGGATTAATATTTTGCCATAGTTCATTATTTCTTTACATGCACACACACACAGGAGATAAGGTTTAGACATAGTTAATTCCTCCTTACCATATCCCACTTAGAATATCATGTTGGTCATGGTTCATTGATCCTTTCCATATACACAACAGCTGATGTTTATAAATAGTTGCTATTCTTAACATACATACTTAGATGTTAATGTTCATTTCTAGTTCCTTATTCCTTCATATATAACACACAGAATATGTTGTTCAGTCATATTTTCTAACTCCTTCTGTCACTTAGAAGGTAATGCTTCATCATAGTTCATTACTCATTCACCCATGGTAGATGATGCTTCGATCTAGTTTCTCTTTTACATGTATACTTAGATGTTCATGTTTAGTTCTCCTTGATTGTCCTTTAATATGTACACATAGGTGATATTAAACACCACCATCCATGGGTACAGATTATGCCTTAATAAACTATGGCAAAACACTAATTGTTAAGTGGTGGTTGGTTGCCATCCATCACTCTTTGACAAGTCAAACATATACAATACTATTTTGTTATTGTACATTACTTCTTAACATTTACATTTAGTGATTAATGTTTCATTCTCATTCATTGCTCCTTAACATGCTCCTTAGATCTAGTTAGTTGCTGCTTAACATACCACTAGAAGATATGGTTTAGACATACTCGTTTGCTCCACACAATGTCACCCATAGTCAGTGTGACTTTCCGAGTGGTGGAAAGCAGTTGTAGCTTCTTATTCCATAAGATGTAGTCTTAATAGATAATGTTTAAACTTCTTTTCTTACTTGTTTACTATATAGAAGATAGTGTTCAGACTTGATTCTGGGCCTATGTCAATCAAATGTGTTCATAATGTGTCATGTTCTGGGGCACTGCACGTCATTGCTGGCAGACTTCTCAGCCTGACTATGTCCTACCCATAGATTGGTTCCTTGCCCATTGGTCTTCCATTGTTCTGCTTTTTCATTGTTCCTCCTCATTTTGTTGCCTGGCCACACCCCTCTTTGCTAATATACTTTATTCTGTCTCCTGTGCCTCATTCCTTAGCAGTAACTGTCTATGCCTTTAGTCTGGTCTGTCCCATCATTTTTACTATGCATGTTCTCCTCTCCATCTCCTCCCTCAGGTCCGTGCTCAGTTTTGGAACACTCCTTTAGGGATCCTTTTGGTGGCTCCTCACAGCCTATCCCAACCTTATTTCTGTTACTTCACCTCCTTGAGCTTAGCCCTGTCTTCTTCCCCTTCCCAATTTTCCATCACTTCTGATCTGTTCTCACACATTGCTCTTTCCATAGGATATGACATACCTTTATTATTGCATGTGGGATTGTCCAGTTCACCTTCCTGATCATTTAGCTATCTCTTGGTCCCACTCAGGTCACCCTACTACCTCCATGTACTGACATACAGGACTTACTTAACACTTTGGCCTCTTTGTCACCATTTCCCTTTGACTTCATTACACTGTAACTTATTTCTCCTCTTTCACAAGATAGTTCTTCCCTGGTCTGTAAGTCTCTTCTGTCTCAGGTTTTAAGGCAGTATTTCATCCACCTTCTGTGACAATTTCCCTTTGTCTCTGATTCTTTTTACTCTCTTTCATTCCTTCCTTATCCATTGTCCCCTTCATACCTCTTGCTTGATTGGATTATCATTGTGGTTCTCCATGTTCTTATCTTAGTCCCTATCAAACCTCTAGCAAATCTTTCTGCTCTTCCTGTTCTAGTCTTACTTGTTGTTGTACACATATCTATGCCCTTGTTTTCTCTTGCTTTCTCATAACCTCTCTTCTCTTCTCCTTTGTCCTGGCCAATCTTTCCTTCTCTTGTATTACATGGCAGGGGAAAGTGCTCATTCTTTTTATCCTATATCACCCTCCTTCAATTTCTCTTTTTTTGGTGTTATTTCTGTTCTGCTCAAAAGCTTTTGTCCTGTCTGGGCTGCTCAGTGTTTTGTCATATTTTTCCTCCTTGTGGTTCCTTTCACTGTCCTTTGATAGCTTGGACACCTCCTTTACCTGAGGCTTCTCTTATTATCCCATTATAGGTTGGATGAACCAACTCATACATCTTATATATGCCCCTCAGACAGTTGATGTTTGTATGCTCTCTCGAGTCACCTCTCTTCAGCTATTCTCCCCTTCTCTTTGGGCTAGCATGTTGACTACCCCTCAGTCATTTGTCTCACATTATACTGTCTCCACCATCTGGCTGTCTTGTCTGAAATAACATGCATACTTCCACCAACGGACCTGCACCTTTAATGGGTGTGAGTATTCATTTACTTATTCCTTCCTCACTGTTCTTTTACTTTTGCATCCCACTAGGTGGTTAGTGTTGCCTCACAAGGTATACTTACCCAAACTTCTGCATCAGGTCAGGATAACATCGGACCATCTACCCTGGCCCAATTATTGCTTACTATGATGTGGGGTGTTTCGTAAGACCACTGGAGTTCACCTTGTGGTATTTGTATATATAACTGTTACCAGTCCGATACAGACTGTACTATCATGGAAAATGCCAACACCAGAGTTGTGCTTCTGTCTGCTTCTCTGGTTAGCACTTATAGGCTTTTAAAATTAGGTTTTGTGGTTACCCATTGCACCATCTCCAGTAAAAGACCCTTCTGGACTGAAGAACTGATGGGGATCTGGACACATTTTCTGGGTCTCCCCTACATGAATCCCACCCCCCCCCCTCACGGAGTGGAGCATGGGAGACCTTTGTCACTTACTAGCTCCCAACTACTAGGGTGGTGGACCACGACTAATCCTCACTGATTGGGATCTGAACGTGGGAACTAAAACACAGAGTCCCTCTATACTGAGAAGTGGTGAAGGGATTTTCCAGAGTGTATTACAGACAACCCCAACCTATTTAGAAACATCTTATTCTCCGAATAGATTTTAGATGTGTATCTCACCTACTTTCTGTTCTTTTCTCCTTACTCCTGCTTGCAGATTTATTGATATTTCTTAATATCTCTAACTTTGATGTATCACTCATTAATTTTACTTCCACAGCTAGCAATGGACTCGTAGAGTCTGATGGTTGAGTGGTGGTTTCATAAGTATCCTTCAAGTGTGTCTACTGCTGTGCCCTCCCCCCAAGACTGGCTTGGACCATTAGTGTCTGACAGTTGAGGAGCTGTACATGGATACTTTTCCCACAGCTGTTACTGACCCATAGAGATTGATGTTCAAGGAAGTGAGCACACTTGGTACAATATGAACATGCCCCAACTTTATTATACGTACTGGCTTTCAGGCCTCTCACCTCTCCCTATCCTTCACTCAGGTGAAGAGTATACCCTGATTGAGATAAGATGCAGTCTCCCATGGGTGTGCTCCTGTCATTGGATGTTGCACCCCATGGGCTTCCTTTTAGCACTTTTTAAAGAAAGCTCATATAGGGAATTTCTGCACTAGTCCCTCCAACATCTTAACATGGGATTTTAGCTAATCTGTGTATATAGGTGAGTCATCTTATCAGAAGTTAACATTTTCCTTACCTGAAAATGTATTTCCAATAGATACTCACTTCTCTGCACATTCCACCTCTTCCCATACCTCTTTCCACCCGAAGCCCCTCTATCCGATCGGTTCAGGTTTTGTGGTGCTCCATCTGTCCCAGATGCTCATTTGGGGGTTATTTTGCTACAGACAAATGGGTCTTAACCCATGGCTTTACTCCCGTTCTCCTCTTCTATCCCAACCATAGCTTTTCATCCCTTGGTTCTAGCCTGTCTCCAATGTATGGATGGGGTGGTGTCAGACCTATTGGAGAAGCAAGAGCATGTACGTGGCTGAGAGAACTAATGTGCAGATGGAGAAGGAGAGATGCAGACTTAGATGACTAGACTTATGAAATCTAGTAGATAGGGAAGAGAAGGTTGGGCATTACTGAGGTGAGAGTTGAAAGGAATCCAGAGGTGAACAAGATATTGGGTCAGGGTTAGGAACCAAGTTGGAAATTTAGATGAGTCATTCCATGAAGAAGCCTGTCAACCACGTAGAAGTGGAACCGTAGCCCCATACTAAGGGAAGTTGAGTAAAAGCCTATATAAAGTGGAAGAAACATAACGGACTAATGCTACTGCAAACGGAAGGCCACGGAACTGATATAAACAGTCCTCATCAGCCTTGGTCATCGATAGGTCTAGTTGGAAAGACCAGACGAGAGAGAAGTAATTCTCCTTCAGAAAATGAGGGATAACTAAAATATGATTGAAGGAGGATAGGTCAATAACTGAGCACCAGCCCTCAGTCTTTATGGGAACAATGAAGAGGCAAGAATAATAACCCAGAGAGGGATCAGAAACTCTGTCTATGGAACACCCATTCTCCCCACTTTCCTGGTGAACCTTTATTAGTTGCCTCATCAAGGAATGAAGATTTTTGCTCGTGAATTTAGTGGGAGATGTGTCACACTGCTATTGGTGGAGGGTTTTGCTGCATGATGTCATGCAGTTGTGTAAATTCACGTGTTTTCAAGTGAATTTTTGGTGGGAGTTTCACAAAGCTAATCTGAGCACAGAGGTGAGTATCTATCAGAAATACATTTTCAGGTAAGGAAAATGTTAACTTTTATGATATTACAGCATCTTTAATATCTGCTTGCAGGTGTCCTCAACTGGACATGAAGTCGCTCTTTCTAACTTGCTTGAAAGATAGTTAAAAAATATTCTTTTTTGAAGTTTGTAAATAATACTAGAGTTTTAGGTAGTACTGAAATCACAGAAACTCTTTTTTATTTTATTTCAGTGAGTGAAATATATATATTAAACAATTTTGGTTTAAAAACTCCTGTCCTATCATTTGCTTGCAACAGAAGATGGATTTTTTTGTATTGAACAAGATTCTTAGTATAAATGTTTTAGTCAGTTATTTAAATAAAACTTCATATTATTTATGAAGGAGATATCAGAATTAAATATTTTTTTTTCTTTTTGAATTTTGTTATTATATATTATATGTTATTATATTTTTTGACACAATCTAATTTTCTTCTTTCTTTTGTTTAGTGGAAAATGTGACCCTGCACTCCAAGACATATTTAAAATCTTTTCACAAAAATCACTTCTTTCCAAACTTTCTAAGGTTAGTAGAGGTGAAAAAAAATCTCGTACATAGTTACAGTGGTACTCAAATGTAATTTTACCCAACGACTTCTGAAAGTTTTTTGTACAAATGTTAGATGTATCATAATATAAAATATATAAATACATGCAGGATATTATGCATAGATGTCCTGGAGGAATTTTGGATAGTTTGAAAGTACTAAGTTTTTTTATTGTTCATTAAGACAGCTAACTTGATATTACATTTTATTGTGTCTCTTCTTCTACAGCACATCTTGTCCACCCTTCCACCCTCTGGTGAATATGATATGAGTCATGGAATATTAGACAATAGTATGTTAACAGACCGTGCTAGAGACTCCTTTGCTCTTCTAACTGCTTGGAGAGATTTTCTATTAGTTCTTGCTAAGGTAAAGGTTTATTATTAATAATTACATTAGCTGTTTAATAATGTGTGTGTATTATATGTTTTGAAGTTAGTGTTTGATAACGTAACTTTTAAATAAATAAATATATGTGTTGGGAGCTATCGAAAAGTAGTGAACTAATTCCCAAATAGTCATGCTTCTAGTCTTTATCATATAGACTTTTTTTGTGGTCTTGTATCCTTCTAGTAGGCTGTTAATTCAGACAAAAGTTATTCTAAACAAACGTTTAGCAATACCTAAATTACTTTAGAACATCCAATATGATGTAGGATGTTCTGTATGTTCCTATATCACTTTGGATGTTCTAAAGTGATTTAGGTATTGCTAAACGTTTGTTCTGTTAATTCAGACAAGTCCTAATAGAATCTAATTTTGCATGTTGCTGTGCGTCATGTCAGTTAGGGCAAAAAAAAAATCTGTTCTAGGATTCATTTTACCTCATAAAGATAATGTAAATTACCTTGCATTAAACTTTATATCAACTTTGATAGGAAACTGAAGATATTTTCTGTACCAGTACAATACATAAATGACCTCTTCATATAGAAACTGTAAACTTTGTTAATACAGATTTTTACTCATTGATATTTTGATATAATTTTAAATCTTGAAGTTCTTTATCATCAGCAAAAGCTAGAAAACAGTACAAAGCTTAAATGCTGTGATATTGCATTCTTTTTTTTTATTGTTTATCATTTTTTGGTAATGGAAAAAGAAAGATTTTATATACTACACCATAACGTTATTTGATAATTTTGTGAGTGTTCAGAGTGTCCTGAGTAACAGTACTTAAAGAATGATATAATCCCCACTCTTTTCTGGCAATTTACTCTTATTGTCTGACACAGTTTTTGTGGTAAGACCTCTTCTGAGGCAAATAATAATCTTGTATTACTTTAGTTTAATTGTCAGTGAATTTGCTTTGTAATTCATGTTTTGCAAAAAATAAAAGCAACCAGGTCACATATGCTGTAGTTATACACAACTTTAATTGGCTTTAGTAAATATGTGTACATTTAATTATTAAACTATTCTTTAAAGCCAACTATAAATAATTATAGATTTGGGCTCCATGACATTTTAATAATAATAAAAAAAAACTTCCAATACAATCACTCACCACCATACACAGAAAACTATTTTCCTCTTGAAGTCACACTATCTGCCTGAGAAACTTGCATGCCATCAGCCTTATGAAAACTCATACCCAAAACTTACACAAATTTGTGCTACTGCATGATGATGTATTATGCAACACAACCCTGCACCAATAGGACTGTGACACACTTCCTTGCACAAATGCTCCCTCTACATTCAGACATGAAAATCATCTTTCTTTTTCTCGGGCACAGTCATGCAAAGATGTGTTTATTTTTGCTGAGACTTGTAGTAAAATACTTCAACAACTTTGTGTATTCAATCTTTCAATATGAATTCACAATTTCATGGGAATTCTTATTCTCTGAAGTGAGTACAAATATCACTCCCAATTACCAACAATTCAGAAAGTTCTTTGCCTGTAGAGATCATGGCAGCCATCATTCAATGTGTAGTTGGGTCCAAGGACTCTCTTTCATCCTTGTCACACCATTCCCTTCATAGGATTTTGAGTCTGAAGTTGAGGTGGATGAAATGAAGAATTTTTTTTAACCTCCTGTCTTTGCCAAGGATACTTCCATTACTTCTGAGAAGACATTCATTCCTCTTTAAGTTTTCTAAGAACTAGTTCCCAGGTATGTACCATTCTTTTTCATTACCCTATTACTTATAATACTTCCTGATCTCTTTTACAAAACCCTTTCCCTCATGACTTCTTGGTTTTTCCACCTTTCTTTGCTATTTCAGTTCATGTTTTATATTTCCTAGAACAATCCCGACCCCTTCCCTTTCCAGGACATCCAGTCCTTGAAGTCAAATTTGTAATCTGGGGATGGACTTTTTGTCGGTCGTGTCACTGTCCAGTGTCCAAACTTCCTGACTTCGTGCTTTCCTTATTACCCTCTTTTGTTACCCTCCCTCTATCCATTTCATGATTGGGACACACAGACCTTTCTTTTCCATGGCACTTTCAACATTCTCTGCACTTTCACTTCTCATTTGATTTCTTATTGTTGGAATCTCTTGGGTAGAGATACCCTAACTTCTCATGCCCATTTATCCACCTCCTTTCTTCATGACTTTCATTTTGACCCATTCCTCCATCAATAGCTCCTTGGCAGTATCACTGATTGTCTGGAATCACAAGATGAAGCAGCCTGCCATCAGTCTTCCCTTTCCTCAATAGTTTCATGTTAGTTCCAATCTCACTTCTCCACATCCATCCCTTGACCTCACTCACCCCTCTTTCTCATTCAGTTTCCCTGCCTTCCACCCAAAGTCCCTCCTATTGTCCTAACAATCAGTGACCATCTGGTCTGTTCAGGTCCTGAGGGGCCCTGTCTGTCCAAGTTTCTCATTTATGGGCTCATTTTACTACAGACAAATTGGTCTTGACCCACAGCCTAGCCATCTACTTTACTCCCCTTCTCCTCCTCTATTCCAAACATAGCTTTTCATCCCTTCTCATTTCTAGCCTATCTCCAACATCTGGATGGGGTGGTTTCAGATCTGTTAGAGAAGCAATTCATAGAGAGAGTTCTTGACCCTTCTCCGGATTATAATTCTTCATGGTTCTCATAAAGACTGGGAACTGCTGCTCGTGCATTGACCTATCCTCCATCAACCGTATTTTGGTCACCCCCTCATTTTTGGAAGGAGAATTACTTCTATCTCCTTTGGTCTTTCTAATTAGACCTATGGATGACCAAGACTGATGGGTCAGATGCATTCTCCTTGTTTTGATATCCCCTGCTTCACAACCTGACCTCAGGTTCATTCACAGGGACTGTTTATATCAGTTCTGTGTCCTTCCATTTGGAATAGCATTAGCACTTATGTTTCTTTTACTTCATGTGAGCTTTAACTTGTCTTTCTCATGATCTGGGACTATGGTTCCACTTCTACAATGTTGACAGGCCTCTCCTCTCCCTTTCCCAAGTGGAATCCACAGATCAAACTTCTTCATGAAGCAGCACACTTGGAACAACTCATCTTAATTTCCAACTTGTTACTAACCCTGATCCAATATCTGGTTCACTTCTGGATACTTTTCAATGCTCACCTCAGTCATACCCAACTTTATCCTTCCCATCTACTATACCTTATAAGTCTACCTCAGTCATACCCAACTTTATCCTTCCCATCTACTATACCTTATAAGTCTACCTCAGTCATACCCAACTTTATCCTTCACATCTACTATACCTTATAAGTCTACCTCAGTCATACCCAACTTTATCCTTCCCATCTACTATACCTTATAAGTCTAGTCACACCTTTCCTTCTCCATTTATGTGTACATGCTCCCACCCATCCTTTCCACTTTCCCAGTGCACCTTTATTGGTTGCCTCATCAAAGAATGAGGATTTTCATGTGTGCATGTAAAGGGAGCATTTGTGCAAGGAGGTGTGTCACACTCCTATTGGTGAAGGGTTTTGCTGTATGATATATCATCATGCAATAGCACAAATTTACGTGTTTCACATGAATCTTAGATGGGAGTTTTTACAAGGCAGGTGGCATGCAAGTTTCTCAGGCAGATAGCGTTACTTAAGAGGAAAACAATTTTCTGTGTACGGAGGTATCTATTCGGAAATACATTTTAAATTTTTAATTAAGGAGAACTTTAACTTTAAACTGTAAATATAATGTAAAGTCCTTGATGTACATGTGTTTTTTTTTTAATCAGTCAAGTTATTGCTTACATCTAACTTTAATGATTTAGCTATTCAGTTTCATGATTAGTTTTGTTTTATTTTGATTGCTTCACACATTTGACTGTTTAGTCATAAGTATTATTGAAGTTTGCAGAAGACATTAAGATTTTTTGGGGTGGCTAACTATCAAAGATGCTGCAGACTTAAAGGGAGATTTAGATCATTTGATGCAGTGGGCCAGTACATGGCAGATGATGTTTAACTATCCAAAATGTAAGGTGATGCATGGAGGTTTTCAAAATTTGAATTATTGTTACAATTTAAATGGGATTACATTGTGTTCTGTTGTGATTGAAAAATCACATAAGCCATCTAAACAGTGTATTGTAGTTTGCAATAGGGCTAATAGGATTTTGGGTAGCATCTATAGAAATATTGAATACAAGACAAGGGATATTATTATTTCACTGTATAGATCACTTGTAAGGCCTCATTTTAGAGTATTGTCCTCAAGAAGGACAATGAATTGTTGGAAAAGGTTTTCAGAAAAGAGCCACTAAGATGATATCTGGGATGGTGGGATTGTCCTGTGAAAGAGATTAAAATCTCTGAACTTGTTTTCTCTGGAGAGGAGAAGGGTCATAGGGGATCTGATTGAGGTGTTTAAGATTATTAAGGGTATTAATAATATAGATCCATCAAACATTTTTGTGTTTAGCAGTGAAAACAATAGGACAAGAGGTCATAAACTCAAATTTTGGCAGTGTATGAATCATCTGCAGTTCAGACAGTATTACTTTTCAAACATGGTGGTTGGCTTTTGGAACGAGCTGCCTTCAAGGGTGATGGAGGCAGAAAATTCAACTGAGTTCAAGAAAAGGTTGATTGAATAAATGAGTAATAAGGGGTGTTTATAGTTGGGAGCTGGAAGGAACATCCTTGATGGGCTAATAAACTCCTTTTTGTCCCTTTAACATTTTATGAATTTATAAGTAATGAAGAAAATTAAAGTAAGCATTAAAAGTTAGCAAGTTCAGTACTTCATGTTCCTCAAGAACTCCCTGTAGTGAAAGGAGGTTATGTTCACATATTTTAACATGTGTGTGTGCTACACTGGTATTCTTGACTGTTTGCTTCTCATCATAATATTTGTGTTCTGATGTTATGATATAGGGACACATTGCAATGTGATCTTGTTTTTTAAGAGTTGAAAAAGTTAATGGTCAAAATTACCTGGCATACATCTGTAAGAATAGGAGAGCAAATGTCATTGGAGATTTTATAATGTACAGCAGTGGAAAAAATTATTGCATTCTACAATTTTTTTTCACACTTTTCTTGATTCCTTTAATTTTGTATGAAATTTTGCATTGTGTCAGAACTTGTGTAAAATGATTATGAATATTGTGTGGTGTAAGCTGACTCATATTTCAGTCATCCAAACACATGTATGTATCTAGAGTTGTTTAAACATTTGTTTAACAACAAGTAAAAGCTTGGAATGGTCTATTCTTTCATTGGGGATGTGTCTGTGAGCCAGACTAGTTTCGGAGAATTCCGCTCCTCATCAGTGACCCTGGACACTACCACATTTTGTGAGTGTAAAACAATTAAATATACATATATCTATCGTTATCAACAAACAAACCATAACAAACATTACAGCAGATGATCAACAGATACTTGACAAGTATGAAAATATTCTCTGAGTAAAAAAACCTAGATTTAAGGATAAAATCACTAATGTAATTGACAAAAAGTGGTCATAGAGTCTGTTTCCTGTTTTAATATTTGGTTGTGCCGCCTCTTACCTTGATAACTGCTTAACATTGCTGTGGCTTAGAGTGAGGTCGTGATGCCACACACGGATTCTTCTCTTACACTTTGTTACCTATTACTTTCCAAGAGTTTCTGATAGGGTTGAAATCTGGACTGTTGTCTGGCCAGTGTAATGTTTTGATCCTCTCTCTCTTCGAAGATAGTCCTTCATCTGAAGTAATGAAATAAAACCTAAGTTGTCTTTTTATTACACAAAGAATGAAATTTCCTCATTGTTTCATGTCTATTGCAAAGACTGCATGAATATTACCAACTTTTTTATCTCTATGGCATGGAGAAGAGTCATCCTGTAATGTGCACTGGGCAGCGTCACAGAAATGATCCCAAATTGTTGCTTTTAATTGGGACTATTGATGTACTTGTTGGCATTGATTGTGCCTTCCAAAAATGCAGGCATCCCATACCCTGGCTAGAGATACATCCTCATATTACCTGACCATGTGGATGCTTCACAGTTGCATTCAAACACGCTGGATGAAACTCTTTTTCCACACCAACATCATACAAAGTGATTTTTATCAGACACATGCAGGTTGAACTTTGGTCCACTTTGGAGATTGGCTGAACAAGGTGAGACTAGACAGTGCACCCTGAAGTTTCCTTCCATGCTCTTTTGAGATCTGTGGATAGCAGTTGATGATTCTGCAGGGTCACAAATTTCAGAACATGATCGTCAGCTGCTGTGAAAGCTTTTTTCCTACCCCTTTCTCAAAGGCAGCTGGAACCTGGGATCCCCAAGACCCTCTCGTATCGCCCCCAACGTGCTCTGTAGCTAGAGTGGTCAAAGTCACATTAATGTTCTCATATTAGTTCTCTGATATTATTACATTCATCTAATCTTGGAGAACAGTACTTGGAGACCAGAGGAGTATCGCTGATATCCCCTGAATGTTTTAAATTCTTGCAAAGGAAATACTTAACAAAATTACATGAAACATAGTACAGGGTTGCTAAATAGGATCTAGTTTGGACTTAAAAAGTACATATAATTTGAAATAATTTCCAAATTTTGCTATGGGACACTGTTTTTTAAAAACATTGAAAATACTACCTTTCATCATAGAATTTCAATTTTTTTATTGCTGACAAGAAAGTTGCATTTACTGTATCTAGTCAGTTTCAATTTGATACCTATTAAGTTTATTTTCATACTTCATTTTGTCTATTGTAGTAGTTACCACTTCCAACTACAAGTCAAAAACATGGGAAAAATTGTCGGGCTGGGTATCATGATTTTTGCCAACAATATTCTTGAATTCTTGGTCGAGATCAGTTTTTATATATCTAATAAATATAGTTTATGTTCATTAAATAATAAGTTCTTTTATACGTGTGCATAGAAAATTAACAATAGTATTCAATAAATAAATATTTTGTCATTGCTTACTGTTCTATTTTTAACATGACTAGGCTTAATCTATGTTTTGTCATAGAAAAAAAAATTCTGTATCGTTCAAACAGACATAATTTAACATGAAAACATTTTTAGAAACAAAAAGAACTTCTGAAAAAACTATAAAAAATCCTACATCTAGTTTGTTCATAAGTCTTTTAAACTTCCCATTATATTACTTTGTTCACATCTAAATGAGCTCCAGCTAGTCAACACCTTGAGACACCATAAATCACTGCTCAAACCACTATTTACTGTACATTAACAAACTTTTTTATAATCTTATCTATCCAATCATATTTAAAGGTTTGATATAAGGCTGTTTTCAAAGCTGAACCTCATTAGTAATTTTTCAGACTCGTAATCTATTGTGATAAACCCTAACATATCATTAATAAGATAATAAATGAAGATTTAAAGTTTCTAAAGGTTCACATCTCACAGGATCATAGTTTTTTTAGTCAAATTTCAAAATTGATGTTTACATTCATGAGACAGGTAGCCAAAGAAATTTCATTGAATTTTCTTGTTTTAGTTGTTGTCTTGGAAACTGATTTTAATTTACAGTAGAGGGTCTTTGAAACGTCGGTTAAGATATATGATCTAAATTTGATTTCTCCATCTTTCACACAAGGATGTTACTATGGAAATTATGATGCTAATAATAAAGTGTAATGATGATGATTAAATAGTAGATTCAAGAGTGGCACGAGACCTGTAACTTTGGTCTCGCAAATGTGGTTAAGATTCATCATTACAGTGTGTTTCTCATCTGTTTAAAGTTAATGTGTGGAAAATTTATATATCTAATTAAAATGGATTTCTTCACGTGCCCATCTTCAATGGAGGTACGAACTATTTTTAAAAGGAGCATTTTTTTGAACAAGTGAGGAACTCTGGTGTAGTTGGAAATGAATGAGAGATCCTACCAGCATTGAACAATTGCCAGATTTCCCTTAAGTATATAATTCATGGATAGCCAGGCCATGTATATTACAACTTATAGTTTGTTAACATCTTTAAGAGTTTACATACACATTTTACTGGTTAATTTTTCAATCAGGTTCCTATTTTTATAAGACTTTGACAATCCATTTGTATTTTACAGGTGTCTTCTTCTTACAGTTTCTTTCTGATATAAATTAAAATTTTGGAAAAAGAATTATCTTCCCTCATTTTTTAACATTTTCCACTGTTTTTTCTCTGCTAGGTAATGGAAGTTGGATGTTGTTTGTTGTTGAAAGGAATTTAGTTTCTTTTAATAAGTTTTAAAATATAAGTTATTGTAGCTATGCTGGTGAAACTTAATATTTTAAAGTCAGGGTTAACCATTTTAGAGCTCACTAGTAGCATTTGCTGTATAGATTCATTGACTGGTATTTAAGCTCAGTATTTGTATATTTTCAAAGCCAAGTGTAGATTTTATATAACTTGTTCAGTGATAAAGATTAACTTTAAACCTGAGTTTAAGTAAGTTATTGACTGGGAATGTCATGTTTTTTGGTTGTGAACTATAGACACACATCAGCTGATACAAAACTATACAAGTATATAAAATTTTCCTTTTTGCTCCACCATAGACTCAATACATACTTTTTTTCTCAGTTTAAAATTCATTATTCATGTGCTCAAGATCTGTTGATAAGTTTGTAGGAAACATCTGGAATAACATAACAAAAGGACCTCATATTAAAATTATGAAAACTGACTTTTTTTTTAGTGGGTGGGTGGGGGTTGCTAATGAATAATTAAGTTATTTGAAACATATTTTCACTGGTTTTAATTCCTATACAGATGCAACCATTGAAGATTGAGAGTTCAGAGAAGATACGTATCATGGAAGATATCTTAACAGGACTTCAGTCTCAGGTATGTTCGTGCTTATGATATTAATTTATTAAGCTCTAGTATGTATCATTGAATTATCAGTTTTGTTAAAGAGTGGGTAAAAAGATCCTCCTTATCTTAAACTAGTCTGAACTTATATTAAAACTTGAAGTGTATCAAAAACTGTTAATGCATTTGTATAGGCATTAAATAAAATGTTTTTGTAATATGAATTTATTTTTTTCTATTGTTACGATTTTTGAATTTTTTTAGAAAAGATACTGCTGGTTTTTGTTTGTTACTGCCTGCTTATAAGCAGCATGATTATTCAAAAATACTTCCTATAGTAATTTTTAACAAGGCATGATAAGATTATTATCATTAGCAAAAAATATCAAGCCATTATGGTTTGATACAGATTGTATATTTTTGTAAATACATTCATTTGTAGTTGTTTTATCCCTATTTATAGAAGAAATAATATGTTATCCGTGAGTTTGCTTAAATTATAAGTGATATACTGATGTGCCGTAGTTTAATGGTTTATTCTGTGTGATGATAAAATGTAAAGAGATATAAAAATTGTTTTAAAGCTATCTAACACTTGAATAATACAACATTATTAACTAGTGAGGTTCATTTTTTAATACTAAAGCTGCATATGTCACTGTTGAAATAACTGTTACTTTCATTCTACCATCATATCATAGAATATATATGTAGAAAGTTATATTCAGGTAATTTTTCTGAATTTTCCTGTTCTGCTTATAGTTAATTACATACTTGTAACTCAGATATAAAAAGGTCATAATCATGCATTAATCCTTTTGCATAAGTTTTACATAAAAGTTACACAGCAGTAGCTATCCTATAGGAGTTTGTACCAGTTTGACCCTTTGTCTGATTCTGTATTGAGATGTGACACACACTTTTACAAGCTACTACGAGTTGTTTCTTTCCCATATATATGTTGTTTAGAAAAGTTAAGTAATTTAATGATTGTGGCATACCACAGCAGAACCCTTTTTGGACTTGAAAGTGCAGTATAACATTATTCTTGATTCTGTCCTTGTCCAGTGCAGATAAACTTATGATTTAGTAAAGATTGGAAAAGTATTAAGTTGTTGTGACATGTTTAATATGGAACGATTGACTTATAAATACTGATCTATCATTTTACGTTTAACATCAGGCTGCATCTGCTACTAATGACATATAACTTTATATTTGGGTTTAAAGTTATTCTACTGGTGATGACTTATTGTGTTGTTTTATTAAGAAACAGTCTGCTTTTGAATAACCTACAGATCTTATGTTTAGATTGAGATGCCAACAAACAGTAAAGTTATGATTCTACTAGGGGAACTGTACTTGATGATTCTGCTAAAATGGGATTGGTAAGTATATCATTTTATTTTAATTACAAATAAATTAAAGTTTCTCAAACAAACTAAAAGTCTCACTTTTTATTCATAGCTGATAGGAACCAGGCTGAGTGTTATATTAATCATGTAGAATAACTTACAAATTGTACTGAAATATTTTTTGTTTCTAATCATGTTACTAGCTGCTGTAGGGTTATCATAAAGCAAAACTGAAATTATGAGAAGCTCTCTTCAGAAAACAGGTTACTACTGTATATTTTGATCAAATACAAAGACTGTGTTTTGAAAAATGTGCACATAAAAATACACAAGTAACTACTTTCTTGTTAGAATAAGTTGAAGAATTAGTATCATAATAGTTACCATTGGTTAAAATTCATAGTTTTCTCAAATTTTGTGGCATTAAAAGAATTAAAAAACTCTGACATCTTTGAAAGAGGAGATTTATGATATTTTGATGTTTATTGATGTCGGACTATTAAAGTTGGTGTTTGATAATCTCTTCTCATTGTCAGTTTATTGTTACTTATTAGAAAACCAAATGTCTTGTGTTATATACTGATTCATTATCAAGCAAGTCTTAAATTATGTTCCTGACAATTGTAGCAATTTTGTTTTACAAAATGATGTGTTTCAATTTCATATGTTATGTTTTGTTTTTATATTTAACTGAGTTCAAGAAAAGATTGAATGAATTCATGAGTAGCAAGGGGTGTTTATAGTTGGGAACTGGAAGGGACATCCTATTTTATATTAATGGAATGACTTATTTTTCACTAATCTAATATTGTATTGTTCTTGTCAATATTTGTGATTTATTGTACACAGATTAGTGCTAAGTAACCCTTTCACAGTTTAAATACCATAATTGCAATTTTTTTTTATATTTGTTGTACAGTTGATTTTTTATTAAAAATAAAAACATAATATCATTAAAAACATAAATAATATTTTGATATGTGACAAGAAAAACAAACCTTATTCAGAACAATGAGTAATTTTGTTTTCTATTAATACTGCTGTTCATTGACTTTGTGGTTTTCAGTGCCCACAGCCTTACTTCATACATCAAATGCTACTCATTAATATGCTTTTATTCATTCTCTAAGGTCCTTTAGTGGGCCAGCAGTAAGTTTACGTATTTATAACACTAAAATGTCATATATTAGATTTCCTGTGGTGGAGAGAGAGTGCGTTGTGTAGCCTTATGCTATAACAAACTGTCATTAACTAGATGGACTTACAGTGCCTACAATTGTATTTCTTACAGTGGCACTATCATTCACCTAATAGTTGGGCTTAGAGTGCTTTTATTTCATAGAACAGAACTAGCCATATTTTGACTAGGTGGGCTTATATTGCTTACAAGTGTACTTAATACAACAGTGCTATTATTCGTTTGCTGGATGGGCTTAGAATGCTGTTATTTCATACAACAAATCCAGCCATTGATTGGTTGAGTAGACTTGCAGTGCTAACAGTTTTATTGCATACAAAAAATGTTACCATTCTTGACTTAGTTGAAAGTGTTAACCATTTTATTAATAATACTATATGGGCTTACAAGTTAACTTCATATAATGAAAGTTACCTTTTATTGACAAATTATGCTTATTTTTGTGGAAAAATGGAGTTATTTAAGGTATTTTATAAATTACAACTTGCACTTGGGAATGTATTAAATATATTTAATTTTATTATAGCCAATGTTACCATTCAGTGCCCGAATGGACATCATCCATTGGTGCTCTGCTTCATAGTTTGAGATCCAATGCTGATTCAGTACACCCTCTGCTTCAGGTATTAGTAGTTTCTATTGCTACAGCGGCATTAAGGGTTCTGGGAAGGAATAAGAAAAATGAAGGTAGGAAGTAATAAAAAGGTTATTATTAGAGTAGACTGCATATTATACTAGTATTTACCTTAATATTAAGTGTGTGTGTATGTCTTGATATAAAAGACTGTTTCATTCAGATAGTATTGATTAATTTAGTTTTGTGAGTGAATGTTTTATTATTGTTTAGTTTTTGTTATAATAAGAGTTAAAAGCAGATGATTGTAAGGAGTTTTGTTAATAATTCTTTGATGTTGAGAATATCGAACGTCACGTGCAATATATTGAAGTCGAGAATATAGAAGGTGGACAGACAATTAGGTAATAAAGATATAAATAGCTTGAGAAAAGCAGGAAGCAGCAGACAGATAATAGCAAACGAGAATAAAGTTGATGTGAAGATAACTACTGTAGAAGTGATAGGCCTAACATTTAATATGTTAGAGTGAAACTAACAGTAGAAGAAAAGATAAGAAAAATTATATTATTCCATCAAAGCTTGGTTCTAAAGTAACTGAATCAGCCTGAGTGCACTTTGACAAAAGGAACAGAGGATCTTCAAAAGAAAGAAGACCAAATGATTATGGTAACTCGTGCCACAATTGTAAGTGAATCACAGAGAATACTAGTGTGATAGAAATAGAGAAGATAGTTTGGCTTGTCAACTGAAATTCTAAAGTAACTGAATAGGCCTAAGTGTATATTTGACAAGAAGGAGAGAACTGCATATATAATATTTATGATATTCCCATAATATCTATAATATTGAAGAATTTATTGTACATACGTTAACTTGTTCTGAACATATATATTATTTTGAAAACAAGTGAAGTGCCTTGATTTGAGTACTGTTACTGTGTATATAGTTTTGAGAACCTGATTATTATTATTATTAGCATCTTATCCAAGAACTGTAATTGAAGAATGAAGGCATACATGCTTCTATGTTAACCCATACATTTGCTCAATAATATTTTACAAGAGTCATCATTCTTTTTTTAAATGCCATTTTTGTATTAAAGAATTCCTTCTAAACAAAAAAAAAAGGTTGACCTTACAAAAGCTTTCCTCTTGTAGCTTTTTTTTGACAAACCATTTGATGCAAATATTGAAACTCCTTCCCAAAAATGATGAAGTCTCATGTAATGAAATTACAATTTGTATATTTTTTCTTTAGCATTTTGTGAAATGATTTCATCACCTGATTTATTAAAAAAAAATTGTATCTTTACCGTCTGTGACCAAGTTTTATCGCATGTTTTATCATTCAGTAACATGAGTTTTATCATTTAATATAGTTTAATAATTCATCATTATACTTGTGTAATTGTAAATTAACCCTCTGTGCACTTTTGTGGTGTTGAGTGCATACCTGTGAACCAGATTTCAAAATCTAAAATATAATTCTATTTCGACAACTTGTTGCTTAACATTGTTTTAGAATTAAAATTTTAGCATTATATGACATTTATTTAGTTTATTTCACAAAGAAAAAAAGTTATAATTTTCATTTCTCTGCATATCTGAGGAGTCTTGCCCATAAACAAAACATTTATTACTTTTTTAGAATTTTAATGCTCATTCTAAAGTTTAGATATTGGTTAAGTAACTGTTATCAGATGAAATGCAGGAATTGTCAGGAATGTGAAAAACTTGAATATGAGAAAAAGGCTAGCAATAATCCAAAATTGCTGAATCATACTTATCCTTGAGATCACAGGATTTGTTTTTTGTAACTATAAAAATATGCATGTAACTGGCTGTTTATTAAAATATTTTAAAAACAGACAGATTATTGCAGTACGTTGTGTTTCAACTTTGTACTCATATATAAATTTAATTAAATATTTCATTATAGTAGTTCTCTTTCTAAACTTGCCCTCAAAAGAATTTGGTTTATTTTTAATAGTCATAGTAACAGCACTTAAATCTACGTGTTAGTCTGGTGTTTGGAAAGTACTTATGTTATTAAAAGATGAGGCTGAAACTTTTTTGGAGTGAAAGGTTTACAGTCTTAACGTTAAATTTATTAAGACTAATTTTGCACTGTTTTTTTTCTGCAATTACACTAAAATGTCTAAACATTCTTCATAGTCATCAGTTGTTTATCAGATACTATATTCTGTTAAGTTACTTCTTAAAAGTGCATTATTACAATTTTCTCTTTAGAATCCACTGTCAGCGAATGGTTTGATCCTGTATGTGATCTGGTGAGATATACAAGTCTCATAGCACAGAAATATTTGAAACAGTCAAAGAATGCTGGTTCTAATCAGGTATTTATTTTTTGTCAAATTCTTGATAAACATCATGTAATTGTGGTTACTGTTATTAAAATGGACCCCAGTTGTTTTGAGAGACAGAGCAAGACTTCTAGTTTGTGAAACATGTACAGCTGTTTGTTATAAAACATATTTTTATATTACTGCAAGCACTGTAAAGGGTAAGATCATTCTTTTTACATTGAGTTGTATTTACTAGGACAAAATTTAGTTTTCTTAAATATTTCTTTATTTATTTTTAATTTAAAATGCACAAGTTACTGTGAATAATGAGTAACTTGTATTTCATCTGACTGTTAATGATTGGATTTTTGAGAAGAAAGAGTTTATAATTGCTCTGATTATTAAATAGTTAGAGTTATCTGTCAAAACAGCAGCTTAAGATCAGTGATCATTGAGTAACAAGTCAGAATAAATAAAATATTTGAACTTTTGTGACTGAAGAGTAGGTGTTTCTAGTAGTTAAATTAGAGCAGCTCTTTAAATACTGTACTTTGAAGAAAGATATTTAATGAATGACATTACACATGGGCTAGTTGCAAGTATACCTTGTGTAGAAATTTCATAATATTGTTTTTATCATTCAACTTAATGAATTTTTAATTTTTACATTTTAGTTATTTTTATAATAATAAATAAAACATATACATCAAAAAAAGAAACTGAATACTTACATTTGGACTCTTGTTTTTTGCTGTTGGCCCACCAATGAAACTTAAGCTTACATTTTTTTAATGATGGTACTAGTACATTATATAATTTTTATCTTAAATATGCACTTAAGAACCCAAAATAATAATGACACATGAAGCAAACAACGTTCTATATTTATTGTAATTTAACTGGGTTTCTAACCAAAGCATAAATGCCTTAAAATAATTCCCTTCGCTGCTCAATCTGAATTTGGCAATAGCAACTTTCAACCTGTTGGCAAAATAACTAAAAATATCTTCTGATAACAAGGAAGTATTATACGAAATTCAGTAAATTAAAACTTTGTACTTTTTTTGGTTATAAATGATGTAATAGCAAATTTCAGAAACAATTATTGACAATTTGTGAAAGTGAGGATGTGGGTGGGCATGGCAAGTGGGTCAGGAATTCTTCTGTATATCTGTAAAAAAAAAAAAATTTATGTTAAACTCAAGACATCAGAGAAGGTAATGAAAAAAAACAAAATGGGTAATTTTGAGAGATCAAATATTACAATACATGTACAATGGGAGATTGAGAATTTATTTAAATATTTTGTGTTGAAATTAAGAAATCAAACTTATATAGTATTAAAATATGGTTTATTAACTGTGTTTTTTATGCCAAGTTTATTTGTATACATTGGTAATAAAGTAGTTTTATTAAACTTTGAATGTAACTCTGAAAAAGTCGGGACATGCACACTTTGACCTACCTTTATTGAGAGGGTTAAAGTATAGAAGTTAATGTTGTACTTTTATTACGTTTAAATCTGATATATCATGCAGGTTGTAATCCTTCAAAAGTGAACAATTTATGTTTAATGCTTTAATTATTTTTATAATAAAAATTTAAATAACAGTTGCCGAATCTGAAGTATCATTTTTAAATAACTAAAAAATTAAAATTAATGAAAAAAGATATTTTAACCAATAACAAGAATTTTAATGGTAATAAGTTTCACTTCTTTTGAATTAAGTGGGCTAGGTGTTGCCTAGTGGCTTGTGTTCTGGATTTCAGAATGAAGATTTGAACCACAATATGCTCCACACATTCTGCTTTGGGGGCATTATAACTATTACAGTAAACTTGCTAAGAATAGCCATATAATAGGTGGCAGGTGCTGTTGACTGGTTGCCTTCTGTCTGGTCAGCATTCAAAATCCGGAATGGCTACACCGGACCCTTTGAAGTCTGATATAGCCATTCAGCCATGTTTTGCATAAGATTACATTCTGTTTAAAAGTACCAAATTCTATTGCATTAATTAATTATATTTCTAATGCCCTAACATAACACAAACATTATGTTCAAGCAACAGAGAACTATGTAATAAAATATTATAGTTTTTTTACAAGTACAAAAAAAGCCTTCAGTTTGAATCCAGACTTTGTTCTTTCTACTGCACATCATCTTATAAAACCCAGAAATGAAACATTTCTTGTGAAGTTCCTAGAAAGTTTGTTTTGTCCTATGTATACAAAAATAAGTATGTATTTAAAAATTTGTTCACATGTATTAGAAACTTGTACTTTCATTTAAAAATTTACACATTATATTAATAGGAAATGGTATTACAAGTTTGTGGCAGAAGCTCCTAAAGTAAGTAGCACTTCAGTCATGACAGTATTAGGTGTGGCTGTGGTAGGTTAACTAATGGAACACATTGTTTATAAGGTCATATAAAAGTTTAAGTTAAAATACTTCTATGACAAAATACAGGACAATCTCTAAATTTGTATTGTAATGACTAACTTTCCGAGTTTCTTTTCTTTGAAGCTTGTGCTAGTTCTACACTGAGATATAATTTAAACTCTCCAAATGTCATCAAACTTTCCAAATGTGTAAAACTACCTTAGGGTGTGAGACACAATAAAAGTGACCACTGGTTCACTTTCAATGCCACCAAGATTTGCTGCCTGGGTATCATGTGTGGGACCAACAAAATAGGATTATACAAGAGGAGATCATAGACTTCACAAGTTATAGCTTTCCTTAGTCATAATCAAATTATTCATTGTGTTGTTTCTCATGATTAATAGATTTTTGTTACACTTTGGCACAGAATCTTATACATTACACTGTTAAAACTTATAGGATATTTTTATATTTGTTGTTAGTTGATTTGTTAAAAAGCTGTGTTTAAAATGTTTCGTCTTTTTTTTGCAGCTTTCAATTTTAACAATATGTCTTCTCAAAGAATTGATTCATCACAGTGAAAGCCCAAACCAGTGGTTATCTGTATTGTTACAGAACACAACAATACCCACTTTGCTTGGACTGTTAGTTTGGTGTTTGCAGGTAATGTGATTGTTATATTTCTTATTTGTTTAGCAAGAACAATATTACCTGGGTTGATTAATTTGGGGATTATTTTTTTCTGTTACTCCAAACTTACTAACAGTTTCTATGTTGTTACTTTCTTTTTATATTGCATTGTGCCCCCAAGTGGCACAGCGGTATGTCTGCGGAATTACAATGTTAGAATCCGGGATTCGATACCTGTGGTGGGCAGAGCACAGATAGCCCATTGTGTAGCTTTGTGCTTAATTACAAACAAATAAATATTGCATTGCATAAGAAAATTCTTCGTATTTGAAAGTTTACATTTGCCTTGTCTTGATATTAATATATTTTTCTCATAATCTTGCTCATGGTATATTCTGGAAACATTACTACAGAAGGCAATGTCTAACGTAGTTTAAGAAACGTTTGCCATTTTATCCAACAATAACCTTGTGTATAAAGGGGTTGATAACATTTTATAAAAATGACTTGCATACCCTAAAAGTAATGACATATCACTGCAAGTGCAAGCCATGTATTTTAGGCAACATGTTTGGCATCTGCATGTTTTATTGATCATAACTTATTAACCATTTAGCAATGCAGGACCACTGCAGATTGACCTATAGGGCTGAAAATGATGTTGAAGAGAAATATTCATAAATAAATATTCAAAAAAAGAGAGTTTTCAATGCTTTCTGTGGAAGTGGCAAAATCTGCACACCAAAGCATTTAGAACAGCAGTAGATTTTAAAACCACACACCCCAATCAGTAAGTAACAGCAACACCTTCATCCACAGAGTAAAGGCTATGGTTGCAAAGAGATCTGTCTTGGGCTAAACGGCCATTTTGATGAAGATGGGACAATTCTGTGGTATCATGAACAAAATAATCATCAAAAACGTGAAGTTAATGAAAGCTCACTTGCTTCTATTCATACATCAAAATCACAAGCAATAATGTACAATCAGGATCACGAGATTGAGCACAATGATTGATGGAGGAAGTAATTTGAAGGGGAGTATTGGATCTCAAATTCTATTTTTTATAAAATTTGATTGATCTTCTATAGAAGAAACTTGTTTCTAGACTTCTCTGAGCTTATCCTATTTCTAAATAAAAGTTTACTTTTTCAAACCTTTATGAGTTTCATACTAAATACACCATGTTTGTGTACTGTCGCGTGTTGCATGAAAGTTATTCTTTATAATTTGTTGAATTAATTATCCCAATGAACTCTTGTAGTATCTGTTGTGTTTCTTCTTTAATGAATGGTTTTTATTTCAAGTTTTAGGTACTTTTTATTATCTCATATTTTATTCTATTGACTGTACGGTTAACAGTTTTTACTTTTTATTGTGATATTCAATGTTTAATGATCAGGTATGAATTACAGTGATTATTTTATTGTATGTTAAAATATCAAACTTATAATACACAAAAGTAAATAAATTCGGTAATACTTTTTACATGTAAAAGGCAAGTAAGACTGATGCTTGACTCTAGTTTCCTGTGACACAAGATGAAAATGGTAACTCATCTTACCCTAGATGGAATAAAACATCTCTAGATAAATTACAAGTATTTAGGATACAGTTTAATAGTTGTTGTAAAAATATTAACTCTCTTTGTAGTTGGTAAGAGCTAGAGTATCTTTATTTTCTTATTCTTATAAAATATATTATTAGTTTTGTATAATACCTAGAATAAAAAGTCATACTGAAGATACTTAATTTTATAGTGATTATATAAATTAGATTTTTATTTCTATTAGCTTCATAAAGGAATTGGAATAGCTCACAATATCCTGACTCTCTTTCTTGCTTTGACTCCTGTACCAAAGGTAAGTTTGTTCTTTTTTTTTTTTTTGAAAAACTTAAGTTCAAAATTAAATTATGGTTTTTGTTGCCTTGTATAGTCTGAATATTAATTCTGATGTAGTTATTTTCAAACCAGATGGTTAAAATGTATGTAATTTTGAATATTAAAATATTTTTGTATTTATGTTTTGCTTTTCTTTTAAATTTTTTATATCAAATATGTTAATAAAATATTTGTAACTGAACACTGAAAATATTGGAATTTTTGTTTATTAGAAAATCGTGTCTAACAACTATTTTTATCATAATTGAAGATAACACATGTATTAGGTCGTCAAGAAATTCAAGTCGTGTTTTGGAACACTTTCATTAACCACCCCCAAAAAACGTACGTCACATATAATAGTTAAACGAACTGCCTAAACATCACGTTAGTGTAGCCTATATAACGTGTAAAGTTTAGTATACTCTAATCCCTTATAGTGATCGCACATGACGGGACACACATTCGGCATGTAATGCTGTTTGAGTACAAGAAGGGAAACAATGCCTCTGTAGCCACAAAGAATATCAAAGATGTTTATGTAAATGTTTTGAATGTACGTAAGTGTTAATGATGGTTCAGCAAATATCATTCAGGTGATTTTAGCCTTAAAAACTGTGATGGCAGGGGCTGACATGTTAGAATTTATATGCTCTGAAGGTGCTTGTTGAGCCTAATCCAAGGCAACACACTCGTGAAATGGCCCTGAAATTGCATGTCTCTCATGAAACAATACATAAACATGTAAGAAATATGGGAAATCTCCATAAAGAGGGATTTTGGGTGCCTCATGAACTCTCCGATGATCATTGTTTCCAACATGTGAACATTGTTTCACTCTTTTAATGCATAATGCGTTTGAACCGTTTTTGGACAGAATTGTCACCAGTGATGAAAAATGGATTCTCTATGTGAATATTAAACACCAAAAACAATGGCTCAGTCCTAGACAAAAACCACTTCTGACCCCAAAACCTTGACTCTATCTGCAGAAAGTGATGCTTTGCATTTGGTGGGACATCAAAGGTGTAATTCATTTCAAACTCCTCAATCCACAGTGAACTATCAATGGAGAGATCCATAGTCAGCAACTGGAATGTTAAAATCAAGCCCTTCATCAGAAATGCCCTTCACTCCTCAGTCGGAGAGGTGCTCTTCTTCTCCATGACAATGCACATCCACATGTGTCACGTTTGACGCAACACAAGATTATGGAGTTGGGTTGG